TCCTTCCTTCCTTCCTTCCTTCCTTCCTTCCTTCCTTCCTTCCTTCCTTCCTTCCTTCCTTCTTTCCTTCTTTCCTTCTTTCCTTCTTTTCTCTCTCTCTCTCTGTTTCTTTCTTTCTTTCTTTTGTAATTGCAAAAGCTCATATGGATATAAGGTTGAAGAGAAAGGAGAGCATAACAAAATAAAATCCCACAAACTAACACTGTGAAAAAATAGTTCAAGATTTTTTTCACTTATACCTCACCTCTGCTTAAGTGTATATATTATTTTATTAAACTCCTTTCAGTGGAAGACTGACTTCAAACTACTTCTACCAGAACCAGGTGTTAATATCCTTTGATTTTTTTTTTTTCCTAAAACAATTGGGGTACATTAAATATACTTCTCAGGTCCAGTTTTGCATGACAGATATGTGATGTGCCAATGGTTATATATTATATTCTTCCTCTCAGGCATGTATCTCCTGCAGAGACAGCAGACTACAGAAGCTGACCCTTACTGAGACCATCTTGTCTCTCTGACAAAGATCCTTTTTAACTTCTTACTTACTGGTTACTTCCTGTGATGGATAAAAACTTTAGCTCAGCTTGTGATAATTTCACAGGCCCTGAGCACCCTGACCCTGGAAGCCCCAAGGTCAGAAGTCAAGTCTTGTTCTGAAACATCTGCGTGCTTCATATTAAAGTAGAACAAAAGTGAAGAAATATCCACCAGTGTGACAAGAGAAACAGGCAAAATGGGAATGACACGTTGGTCATCTGTTACCCATGCCACCTCAAGCCATTGACTGAAATGTGATGGAAAAACTCTGCCTGCTAGCTCTCCACGCCTCCTTCAAATAAGTGCTTTGTTTGGGAAATGGTGAGAAGGGTCTCATTTTTTATTTCTGCCTTGTGTTAACTGTATGTATCTGTAGGTGTCCAGGCACCTACACAACATGGCTTCACAAAGTCTAAAAAAATTCTGCTAACATTTCATTTTCGAAAGATAAGGCACATCAGAATAACCTAGGTTGACACACGTCAGCTTAAAATCACAGCTTATGAAAGAGAAGATAGCAGAACAGATTCTTCCTGCTCTGCATGTGTCTGAGGAGCATCAACCATGCAACTGTTAAAAACTGTTAAAAACTGTTAAAAAACTGTTGCCTGGAGTTATGGTCAGTGAAGGAGTTAATCATCTTTACTAATCTGGTCTCTTAAAATTTATTTTTGAGAGAACTTACTAACATGGTAATAAAATACCTGTGGAAAATGATCAGCAGAGCTGGTCTCGAGTTTCAAATCTATACACATTATACTCTTTAGTTTTAAAAATATTTTTCAGGAAACACAGAAAAAATCAAAGCGGCCTTAATTTCAACAAATAGAAAGAGTTAATAAAAATCTAAAATTCTTAAACTAACTGAAGTATTACCTATCTGAATTCTTACACACCTTCCTAGAAGCATTCAAGGCCACGCTGGATGGGGCTTTGAGCAACCTGGTCTCATGGGAGGTGCCCCTGCCTATATAAAGGCTCCTTCCAACACAACCCATTCTATGATTCTCTGAATATTTTGTAGATAGAAGTTTTACATATATATCAGCTAATTTCTGTTTGTATAAAATTAACACACTTCTTGAGAGCAAAACCAGGGCTTTTCTTTTCAAAGTTTTCTTCAGTAAAGCATCTCCTGATTACATCAGTATTTTACAATTTAATGACCACACCTACATTATTTTATACATTTTATAAATTGACCAGGTGAATTCTTTCTGTTTTAGACAAGGTGAAGAAATTTGCCTTGTAGAGATTAGACCAAAAAAACTGACGAAAAAGATGGATCTTCAGCAGTCCTAAAATCAAGGGTAGGAAAGCTTTAGACTGGCCAGAATTCTCCCCAGCTTAAATCACAGCAGGGTTTATCCAGAGCTAACTAAACTGAAGAAAGTCTTTCCACCAGATTCTGTACTCATTTGTGGAAAAACTGCAAAATCATGTAAACCTCCAAATCTCTCCTCACATTCAGCTACATAGAAGAATGTGCATCTATTAATTATGACTTAGCATTAAATTGTTATTTATTCCCAGTCTTGACCTCCAGCCTCTCTAACCACAGACCAGAAACTTGCTGAGTCCTACCTTTACTGCAGAATCTGAAAAAGAAGGATTCAGTGAGCTTTATTTTCCCACAGTTTTTCAGATTAGTGGATACATGGCACCTACTGTCTAACTCAGTAACAGAGGTCTATGCAGTGATCTTCCAGATTCAAAGAAAACCTCATAGACCTGTATGTGAACACTGGTCAAACTGTTCCTAAACTGCTGTTTGAAGAAGATAATAACAAAGAACTTTGAAAATCTGTGGAAGACCTCAGGAAAGAAGGCAATGAAAAAGGCATACTTACCAACTCTACAAATGCAAGTCCTCCATAACTGTGAGCAACAAAAAACACGTTCTCTGCTGCTGACTGGGAAATAAAATGGTCCCAAACATAAATTGCATGTTCTTCCGGAGATCCATTATCCTGCAGAAAAAAATCACATTTGCAACAATTACCTGTTAGCAACTGGCAATTCTGTCTAAAAGTAACATGTTCTCCCATACACTAAAACATATTGTTAAAACAAAATTCAAGCTAATAATACTCTTGTGTCAAAAATGAGCAGATTCATTTGTCCAAATAAAAGAAATCTAAGATTGCAATTTAAATGCAGTAAAACTGTTGTTTTATTGTTACTTATTTTAATAAATACAACGAAAATTATGCATCTGCAAAATTTTGTCTAAATACCATGATGGCAATTCAGCTAAACAGAGGCATTCAAAGAAATTATGAGCCACTGCTCTGGTTTTCATTCTTTTGACAACTCTTTGTCAAATATTTGCTCACTGATGGTTTGTTTAAAGTAGTTAACGCTTAGTCTGATAAAACAAATAAAAACGAGTATGAACAAGATAAATATGATTTCAGACTTTAGAATTTTTTCGTATTATGCTCCAGTGGAAATTTGCCAAAGAGTAACAACTAGGGTATTTGCAACTACTCTTTGAAATGCTGTTTTTATTTGTTTTGAAATGTAGACTGTGAGATAGAGGGCAGATAAACCACGTTTTGACTGCTTACATATTAGCCACTATGTCAGAGTTTCTGGTAGTTGGAGGACTTTTTTTTCTTATTGAACAATAACTAATGGATGTCAGTCAGAGAGCCACTGAAAGCACTGTAATCATTCACACTGATGTTAGTGCACTGTCCTCAAACATGTGGGGATGTGCAGTGCTATCTCTACCTTTGAGACGATCAGAAAGCCTATTAGTCCTCTGTATTTTACTTCTTTATCAGGCTGTCTGTGGCATCACTTCAAATTTGTCTAGTCTCAGGTGGCATGAGTTTGATGCTCAGTTACTTCCTGCCTCCCACCAGGATTTCACACCTCTGCAGCACAACATTACAGACATATTCCAGCTCCAGAGCTTTTATGCCAGTAAGAGCTGCTCAGTGAAGGTCATGTAATTTCCTAATATTTGCATCCCTTTGCTCTTCTCCACCAGTGCCTTCATATCACTAGAAGACACTGACAGATCATATAAGCCCCATTTCCTTGGGGAAAATAGAGTACAAACGAGCAAAAGCCACTGGAATTAAAGTGATAATTACACTGTATGAACAACTGTAACTTTATAAAGAACGCTGAAGTCATAGTCTCATTCTAAAATACAATTTTGGAAATTTAAATCTCTTACGGTTGTTGAACATGAGTGAGAAGACAGACAACTAAATAACTTGGTGGATTATGGCTTTTACTTCTATTTTCATGCCTAGTTTACTATCCTAAATAAGAATGAGATAGTTACAAATACTCGTCGAGCTGGACCAAAAGCGTTACAAAAAGTCATGTGCTTAATTTTTTTTCTAAGTTTGAAGAGATTACAACTTTACAATCATATTTGCCAAAAAGCAGTAAAGATATTCAATTTAATTCTGGACAGATTCTTCACTTGACTATAACAGAGTTTCAAATAAATTTGTGTTAACTACCATAAGCCACCTCAACACAAGAAAAGGCTTATTTTCTTTCAACCAGAGTTTGAAATTTGATTGTAAAGATAGAAGAAGGAGGTAAAGACCCCTCCTTTCATGAATAAAGAGGTACGTTTTTTAAAAGAAATTTCATATGGAAGATATGATTAGCAGGCTAGTTAGTAAGATAAAGCCAAAGAAAACCTCATATGTTTCTTAAGGAAAAGGGATATATTCTAAATATGATACATAAGGAAAAGGCACATTAGAACATAGGGAGAATTTCTAAATGACCAGTTTAAACTAGAATTTTTTTACTTTAAGTAAATTTGCGAAACATATTTGTTTTTTTTTTTTTTAATAATAATGTTACAATGAATTCCTGTAACAGGAATTTTTGTGTGGGTATAAAACCGTGGTTTAATACTCTAAGTAAAATATAAGGCTATTTGTGGTTAACTTTGTGTTTTCAAACATTCTGTAATTATTATTCTCTGTGCTGCCATCAGGAGAAGCACACCATTTCAGGATTTCCACAAGACTAAGACAGCAGCAAGAAGCTTCTAAAGGATTCTAAAACTCAGCCTGAAAAACCTGCATCAATTAAAGCATAACCAGTGGTCAAGTAAACCAGATCATTAACTGCACGGCTTCACAGTCCAGTACAAAGAACTTTATAAAAACAAAAAGAAATGAACTGGAATTAGTTACTTACAGACTGTAACTACACATTCCATTGTTACTGGTAGAAAAAAAAAAAAAGGCAGGATAAGCTGTACTGCTATACTCACTATGCCACATGGTAAGGGGCAGAAATATGTGAAAGATGGAGTTTGGAGGAGCAGTATATGTTTAAAAGTAAAGCCCTTTCTTCATGGCATCTGCTTTTTTTTTTTTTTTCCTCATAGCAAGCCACTACTTTAAACAAGTTGGGTGGAGAATAAACCAGTGCCGTGTCCATACAAGAAACATCTGGCCATGTAAGTGGGCACAGCAGACTGTGGGGTACTGCAAGTCTCCTTAGGATACTAAATTGCTTTCTATCCATTAGGACCTGAGGATTAAATATATCTGCCTGGCCTCAGTTAAATTATGATGCTGAATACTGCAGTTTCAATATGGAGGTGACAGTTTCAGGCAGCTGTTGCTTTCCTTCTTTTCATTGCAGCTAAATACAATGCACTTATATACCACCTTAAATAATTTCAGAAATTTAGGGTCTCTTGGCCGTGCTTTGCATAATTATCTATATGATTGTACAAAAGAAATGAAGAAATCATATTATGTGACTCAAAAGGCTGATGAGCCTTAATGCATTCTCATTTGTAAAACAGATTGAGGTGGAAAAGCGCTAGGAGAGCTGAACATGGATTTCCAGCTGCTAGAAGTCAGTTATCTGCAACCAGTAATTCTATGTCTGAATAACTAGTTTGATTTTTTGGAGCTCTGCTCAGCGTCATGGCTGAGGGTCTTCAACACCCCAGATATATACAAGAAGATATAAAAGTAAAAAATATTAAGAACCTTATTAGAAAAAGGCCTCTGTATGATACATAACCAGTGCAAAGTAACCTTAAAACACACAGCTGTCAGGCTGCTGCAGTTCTGATGCTGTGATTCTGGTCCTGCACCTGGGCTTGCTCAGGTGGTGAATGGAACATGGGAGGCATAAGCTTTGCACATCATGAAAAATCTTACGTGGCTCCATTTTAAATGGAATATTATCAGATAAGATTTACCCTTTAATTCACTAATAAATGAAAAGATGTCCATGTCTTTTTCTTAATAACTATTATATTTCAATCCCTTTTACTGCTAAGATTAGAATGAATATACCTCATTTACTACTGGTGACTACCAACATTATGGAGACTATTAGATATTGAACACCTGTCACACATGCACACAGCAGAATCCACTGAAAATTACCTCAGAGATAAAAGGAGTTAAAATCACTTAAGAGCAGTATTGCCAAGGTATTTCAGATTGCTTACATTATATTTATTCCTATTCTTGAAGGCTAGAGGAGGAATATGTTTCTGAAACTAGCTGTAATATGGTGCCCATAAAAATAATACAGAATGCAAGTAGCCACATAGTCCTGGTCCAGTTAATGATCAGATTACTTAAAAAGATGTGCTTACCACATGGATATATTCCTTTTCAATGAGAAATGATCATCAAGCCTTTGCAAATAGAGTAAAAATTTGTTTCATGTGGTAGAAATGAGTATTCACAAACACTTCCTTAAGAACAGATGCCTTTTTCTAGTGATAAAAGGCCTTTTTAATTTTCGCAGTATTTTTAAACACTGTCTATTAACTATGTATAGAAAAGTCTTCACTTCTTAAACCAAATAGCTATCACTCAAAAAATGATCATAAATGGCTAATATGGAGCTTTTCATTTTAATATCAAAAGTTTAATCAAATAGTTTACTAGCACAGTCTACAAAAATAATATGACACTGATTAATAAATTAATGTTCCTCATCTATACGAAGCCATTTAATATCCCAGGGCCAGAACCTCTTCCATAGCTGCAAGCTGCCTGAAGCAACAGATGGAGGCAGGGAGGAAGCTGTGCTCCCTGGAGCTCTGGCAGGGTGAGCAGAGCCCTGGGCTGCTCCGACCTGCACAGCTGGGCTGGCTCACAGGGACCTGGGCATGCTGGCATTCCCCCATTCCTCCCTTGCCCCGTATACAGAGCTGCCAACGATGGTTTGCTGGTGAAGGGCAGTGGAAGAGCCCTGCCCTTTAGTCCGCATATAAATACTCTCTGCTTTGGGCTTCTTGTCTTCTGAGGTTTTTCTTTGTTGCCTTTGTGTTCTTTTTTGGCTGGCTGTCTCTCGTTTCTGTTCAGTAACTCATCCCTATTTTGTCTTGGAGCTTACAAAATGCTAACAGAAACACTCTTTTATACCATCCTGCTCCTAATCTCATTTCAAAAAGAGGTTTTGCTTGGCAAAAAACAGACTTGCACCTTTAAAATTTTCCCTGTAATAGTTTAGGAGCTGTGAAACAAAACAAATGATTGTGGGTAAATTCTCTCGCAATTCACTGTGCAAAGAAGCAGAGAGAGAGAATGCATATTTCGGGTTGTCATTTTTCCCAATATTGCTAGTGCTGAGTTGAAAGGTATATAACATTTTAATGGCTAGAGCCATTAGGAGTACACTGATAAGCACTGTGCATACAGTGAATACAGTGTTATGTTATGTTGCTTTCAAAAACAGGTTGAATTTACTAATATAATATCACAGTCATTAATTGTTAAATACCAAGCTGAAGTGATGCAGCAACCCAAGCCTTATCAACTATGCCAGATTCTAACACCTAGACATTGCAAGGTTTGCAGTTATGATGGACTACCTGAGTTGATAACACATGGAATTATCTAAACAACATTTGCATATTTGGGTAATTATTTCCTAAGGTTAATTAGCTCCTGCAAAGCAGCTTGGCCTTTGAGACTGCTTACTGTGACAGGTTCACATATTTCCT